ATGTAACGGACTGCCTAGTCAAGAAAATCTTAGAGAAAAACATTATCGCTTCCATTATTCTGGCTCTGCTCCCATTTCAGAACTTTTATGAAGTGGATGTTTTTTATAGTCAATGCAGATGAAACTCTAAACCTTAAAAATGATTTTTGGGTGTGCATTTTGGTGCGCATTAGTACTAACCACTTGTTTGCTTCAGCCTCACTTTTTCTTAGGTTGATGTTAGTTTGTGTAATCTCGCAGCATTTGCTTGATATTTTAACAATGAATCTTTATTTAAATTTTTTGCACCCATACACTTTTCTTGTTATCTAATCGCCAGCTATCATTAACACAACATCCTCTTTCCAATATTAAATACTACTTGATTGATTTTTTAACATTTTTTTCTTTTATTTCTGCTTTGACGACCAAAGCTAGAAGACATCAGCTTTGAATGGGTACCTTTTTCTCCAAGTAATGTATTAGAATGCAGATTAAATTGTGAGATACTGAAAAGCATTGGGGTTTCGTTTTAAAACATCGTCATCTCTTTCAATCTTTATCCCATATCTTCTTAATTTGCGAGTGTATCTGCATTTGCAGACCGCAAACTCGTTCTTGTTTTCTTAACAGCAGGTTTAGGTTCTGATAATGAGCTTGTCATAAGCTCAACCCACTGATTATCTAGCAAGCTTGTTCTCCATATTTTGCATATTTTACTTACTTCTTTGCGCCAACGTGGCAAACTAATTATGAAGCTCCGCCCAATTTCATTTCGCATATTATTTCTGTCATGGGATTCTGAATTCACACTTTTCTTCTACAAATTGCTAGTTGGCAATTTTTCCAGAAATTCCTGCAAAATGCTACTGCGGTTAATACTATACCTGCTTCCGCTGGCTATGTGCAACAGACGGGCAGATCTACCACAGAAGAAATTTCCGACAGCCATAATTGTCGGAGTGAAGAAGGCTGGCACAAGGGCTTTGCTGGAATTCCTACGATTGAATCCTCGTATTCAAGCCCCGGGCCCGGAAGTACACTTCTTCGATAAGAACTACCACAAGGGACTGGATTGGTACAGGTGATGCCTTTTCCATACACTTCTGTTTTCTTTCTTCCTGCAAGGGGTTACCAAAAAGCAGAAATTTCTCATAGTGCGAATTCTCTTACGATTAGAT